GATATAAAAAATTTATAATTAATTATGTCTATAGATGTAAAGACAAGAATAATATAATTATCTCACTATATGCTAAAGAATTTGACAAAACACAGCACTCCTTCTTGTTCAAAACACTAGAAAACTTGGCATAGTAGGAGCAGAACTCAACATTGTAAAAGCTATATATGCTAAGCCCAAGGTGAACATCATTCTAAATGGAAAAGAAATGAAAGCATTTACTCTAAGAACCAGAACAAGACAAAAATTCTCTCTTTCACCCCTTTTATTTAACTTCATCCTTGAAATGATCTACAGCAAATAAGCAAAAAATATATAAATAAATAAATAAAAATAAGGGTACATTAACAGGAAAAGAGAATGCAAACTCTATTTGCCAATGACATGATTCTATCTTTAGAAGATCAAAAGAATAATAATTTCTCCAGAAAACTTCTCAAACTAATACATAAATTCAACAAAGTAGCAGGATATAAAATTAACACCCATAAATCAAATGCATTCCTCTATATCAGTGATGAATCCACTGAAAGAGAAGTTAAGAAAACTACTTCTTTCAAAATAGCCTCAAAAATATAAAACATTTGGTAATAAATCTAACAAAAGTGGTATAAAAACCTGTTCAATGAAAAATACAAAACACTAAAAACAAAAAATGGACCTTAGAAAAAGGAAAAGTCTCCCATACTCTTGGATAGGCAAAATTAACAGTGTCAAAAAGGCCATATTACCAAAAGCATTATATATATTTAATGTCATTCCTATTAAAATCCCAATGAAATTCTTCATAGAAATAGAAAAAACAATGATGAAATCACTTGAAAAAATAAGAGGCCAGAATAGCTAAAGCAATCCTCAGCAAGAAAAGTGGAAGAGAGGGCATTAAAATACCAGTTCTTAAATTATAGTACAGAGGTATAGTAACAAAAAAAACAACAACAACATGGTATTGGCACCAAAAGAGATAAAAAGACCAAAAGTACAGAATAGAAGACACAGAGACAAACCCACATAATATAGTTATCTCATAGTAGACAAAGCACCAAAAACATACATTGGAGAACAGACAACCTCTTCAATATTATGATCCTGGTCATGTGAACTTACCCAGTAACCTGCCAGCTGCCGTGATGGACCTCTGGACTCTCGTGATGCTGAATGCTCTTGAGTGTCCATTAACCTGATAGAAAAACCATAAACAATCTAAGCCATCAAAATACAAATCAACCCACAAATGGACACAGACACTCCACTGTCTCATCTTGACCACATAGGGTGAGAGTTCTGTGAATTCCAAATAGGCAGAGACAACAATATATTGTCAGCCTAAAGCAACTATAAGAAGATGAGATTTTTCAGCCCCTCAGCCACCCAAAAAGAATTTGGAGATCAAGTCTTTCAGGGGGAAATGTTAGGTAGGAATTCAAGGACACTAAGATGGCAGAGATGAGATATTAGAAAGAATTTTTTTTATCTCAGTAGCTCAGGAGGCTGAGACAGAAGGATCAAGCATTTAAAGCTAGTCTCAGGTACTTAGTTGGGTTCTAAGCAATTCAGTGAGACCCTGTCTCAAAATAAAATATAAAAAAGGTTGGGTATGTGGCTCAGTGGTTAAGCACCCCTGGGTTCAATCCTTAGTACCAAAAGAAAAAAGAAGAAGACATTGTTATAGGATGACAAGGATAAGAGTCCTGTCCCTGTTTACAATAAATGCCATTGCTATGACAACTCCAGCCCCTGAGAACTTATAACCATGACAACTCCCCCAGAAGGTTCTGTATTTTAAAAACACCAATGGAAGTAAAGTGGGCAGTATTCTAATTATGTTTTCTAAAATAACCAGTGGTGGAGGGGGGACGGACAATATTCTAATCAAGTATCATAAAGTAACCAGTGGGCATAAATTGGATAAGATCTTTGATCAGGTCCATAAAGAAAAGACAATGCCTCACAGCTCAGCATGTAAGACACTAATTTCCAGTGATCAGGTCCTTGAGCTCTCCTCTCTTACTTGGCCCACTCCATGACTTAACATAGTGCCAATTCCACCTTCACCTTCAACAAATATGTACTGTGCCTATTACTTGTGTATGTCTTGATCAATTATTTGTTTGAGACACATCTCTCTCTCTCTCTCTCTCTCTCTCTCTCTCTCTCTCTCTTTTGTCCTTCCTTCCTTCCTTTCTTCCTTTCTCCTTCCTTCCTTCCTTCCTTCCTTCCTTCCTTCCTTCCTTTCCTCCTTCTTTCTTTTCTTCCTTTCTTTTGTCCTTTCTTCCTCCTTCCTTCCTTCTTTTCTTTCTTTCTTCCTTTCATTCCTTTTTACTTGGTAGAAAGGGCTTTGTGTATTATGTAAGTGCCCAAACACTGAGCTATATCTCCCATGTATTTAAAACATTTTTTTTAACTTTCAAGACAGTGTCTTGCTAAATTGCCCATGCTCCCATGAAACTTGTAATCCTCCTGCCTCCGTTTCCTGAGAAAATGGAATTACAACTGTAAAGGTCAGGCGAGCATCGGAGGAAGAGACCACCAAGAGACTGTCTCATGCAACAGCAAAGGGTTTATTGGGGTCCAGCATGCTGGGGCTCAGAGCTCACTTGAATAGAGCAAAGAGCCCTGAGAACAGCTTAAGCAGAGCTTATATACTTTCCTTGGAGAGGGCAGGGAGGGAAGTTCATTGACGGGTCAGGGCAAGTGGGCGGTTTGCCTGCCACCAGCAGTTGGGGACAGCACATTCTGGGAACAAGATTAGCAAACAGTTCTCAAGATTATTAACCTTTCATTTCCCACTTCTTCTTCTGGTTATTTTTAATCATAAAAGTGATCATTGGGGGGTGTCACATTCTATGTCTGCTAGTGGGGTATATTGTTGTCTGATTACCATAAGTTTGATTTGTCCAATTTGAGCTTGGAGAAAGGAAACTACACGGTTGAGCAAACAGGGTCCTAGAGTTAGCAACAATATAAGGATTATTAAAGGACCGGCCAGGGCTGATAAAAGCGTAGTTAATCAGGGGGACTGTGTGAACCAAGATTCATACCACCCTTTTTGGGTTTCTCTCTCTCGTTGACGCTCTTAAAGGTGTCTTCTTAATTTATTCATAGATTTTTTTTACAACTCCAGTATGGTTGGCATAAAAATAACATTCTTCCCTCAATGCAGCACAAAGGCTTTCTTCTCTCATGAAGAGGAGGTCCAACCCTCGCCTGTTCTGTAAAACAACTTCAGAGAGAGAGGTTAAAGATTCCTGCAAAGCTGTGATGGAGGTTTCTAATATCTTTAAGTTTTGGTCCATTGCTGTTTCTAATTGGGTCATTTGTTGTGTCCCATGGACCAGGGCAGTGGTTTCTGTGTCCACCCCTGCAGCAACTCCTATTCCTAATAGGATGGCTAAAGTGAGGGATACAGGTTCCCGGCAGAACCGGGTTGTATGTCCCCTTATTTGATCTTCAAATGAACCTGCATCATGATAGAGCACTCTGGGAAACATCTGCACCATTATACAATTAATCACATCTGTTGACCATTTCATGAAAACATAAATAATGTTTAAGTATATAGAATTATACTGTTGTAGGGACGGACAAGACAAGGCACCTAAGATAGCACCGAAGACAGGGAAACAGTCCTATTTGGTTGCAACCGGATTCAGAGGGCATTGCTTCTGTTGTAATCAATTAATCCCCTGAACCCCAAGTTTAGGTAGTTTCAGAATTTGTACTCAACATGTAAGGGAAGGGGCTCAGAAGTTCACAGGCTGTAGAAGTTCACAAAAAGCAGTTTTTGTTTCTGTTTTTTCCTCTGTTCTGGGCAAGTTAACTTTTCAAGGACACCTGGGAGGGGGAGAACTTTTTCTTTTTTTTTTCCCTGCCAGATGTTACCATGGAGCCCAGTTGATAACTTTTTTATCTTAGAAATGTAGCCATCTCTGTGAAGCCCCAGCTCAAGGCCAGAGGCCTTGTTCACATATTTTGTGAAAAACTAGTAAGGGGGTGTCTAGCTTAGGAGTGCTGATTTTTCCAGCCAATGGCCAAGTAGAACAGGGCAACATGAAAAGAGGAAGTTTATCTATACTGAACTCTTTTATAGGGACTCTTTTGCTGAAAGTCCTAAGGTCAGCCATGGTGAAGACTTCTGGAGAAGGTCAGTTAAGACTTTTCTGTGGGCCTGGTACAGAGGGGGAAGACGGGGAAGGCTGTGCTGAGAGCAGCTCCGTGGATCTGAGAATGAGGAAGGAGAGATGTAAAAGAATAATGGGAAAGGGGTTTGGGATTTTCCTAGCAACAAAAACTTGAGTAGTAGAACAGGTAGAGCAGAGGGGAAGTCTGGAGTGAGTATCCCAAAAAGCCTGTGAGGGACTTTAAATTTTTAGTAACCTGTTTTCAGTGATGACAAAGCAACTTTAAAGGCCATTTTCATTACATCTTGGATAGGGGTCTGAGGGCTCTCCTCAGCTGGTTTGAGCTTTGGGTTAGCTGGTAAGAGGACCTGGTGGGACCCGGTGTGGCACTGACAGGAGAAGAGAGGAGTGAATGGGTGGAAGGGTACCTCAGTACTTGCTACCTCAGCAAGGGGGCAATGGTCTGAGAACCGGCGGAGGTTTGGGTTCCATCAGGTAGCCCCTGTATGTTTACATCCTTATGACTTACAGAAGAAGTCGGTTTTTTCCCCACACAGCCGTGACTGTTTGTGGCTTTGATAGTCCGCCGGGCAAACATAGTAATCTAGGTTAGCCAACCTGCATCTGGCTCGCGTGTCCCTACATCCATAATGTTTGTTTCTATTATCTATGGTATGGAAGGGATTTAATGGAATTTTAGTGGGATCCTCTTCATCAGGGATATCCCAATAGGAAAGACCTATAGCCAGCTGACAAATGTCTGGGTGGAGAGATGGCCATTAGGTCCCTAAGGGGGCTGTATGTGAGATAGATCATACTTCTTGTCCAGTAGGATTTGTGATTAGCCATCGCTGCTGAATGGGCTGATGAGGGTTAGGACTACTGGTGGTCAAGGGGAGAGTCCATAGCCTTATCCACACGGCGAATATGCAATTTGAGAGGGTTACCAGTCTTTTCCAATTTCCAGCCAGAGACTGGACAGGGCGCAGGCTTGAGATGAGAGGCATGGATCCAGGAAGTGATTCCATCTACCTTTACCGCTGTAGGTGTTATAAGTAGCACCTGGTATGGTCCTTTCCAGCGGGGTTCCAGGGATGACACCTGATGTCGTCTTACGTAGATGAAGTTTCCCACTTGATATCGGTGTGGAGTTCCTTCGTCCCCAGGTTGGTAGGCAGTGGCCAGCTGTTTCCACAGGTATCACTGAGTTTTTTCAAGAGCTTTAAGTCTGTCAAGCAAGGGGGTGTGGAAGGGATCCTTAGGTCTTAGAGTTGGGGTTATGTCCCTTACTGGAGGAGGGGCACCATAGAGAATTTCATAGGGGGTGAGGTTATACAAAGAAACACAGGGAGTATTTCTTGTATGAAACAGTGCATAAGGCAGGAGCATAGTCCAATCTTTTACGGTCTCTAAGCTTAATTTCGTTAAGGTCTCTTTAATGGTTCTATTCATTTTTTCTATCTGTCCTGAGCTCTGGGGTCTATAAGCACAATGTAACTTCCAATTAATCCCCAGGGTCCTGGTTAACCCCTGACTTACCTGGGCCATGAACGCCATTATCATTTCTGGTCCATTATCGGACCCTATTACCTTAGGCAGGCCGTATCTTGGAAAAATATCTTCCAGGATCTTCTTGACCACCATTTGCGCCATTTCTGTTTTTGTGGGGAAGGCTTCAATCCATCCTGAAAATGTATCTACAAAGATTAGGAGATATTTAAGTCCATACCTTGCTGGCTTAATTTCAGTAAAGTCCACTTCCCAAAATTGTCCTGGTCTGGTTCCTCGGAGGCGCCTTCCTGCAGGAAGCTTGGAAGGGTAAGCATTAACCAATTGACAGACCCGACAGGCTTTTATTACCCGTTCAGCTATTTCCTTTCGCTGTGAGCCGGTTAGTGGAAAACTCTGTTCTTGATCCTTCAGGAATGCCTGCAATTTCTTTGAACCAAGGTGAGTGAGTTGATGTACATTTTTAATGTAGTGTAAGGCTTTCTGAAATTGCAGGCTGGGCTTAGTAAAGTCGAGGAGTTCAGTGTCAGTGTCCTTATGTTCCCCCGGTGTGGAAAGTGTTAACATGGTTACTCCATTTAGGGCTGCCAATTTAGCTTCTTCATTTGCCCTCTTGTTAGATGGGGGTGGTATCTGCACAACGGTTTGTTTTCTGGGCTCAGTGAGCCATCGTTTACCGCCCCTAAGGGAATAGTCCAGGAAGATTACTTCTTGCTGGCAAATTTGGGCCTTTTTGGCAGAAGCTCTATACCCGAGTTGAGCAAGCTCGGATAATAGTGCTTGGGTCCCAGACTCACAGTTTTCCTTGGTATCGGCTGCCAGTAGCAGGTTATCCACATATTGAAGCAGGGTGACTTCGGGGTGTGTAGTTCTGAAGTTGTTGAGATCTCTGTGGAGGGCTTCATCAAAGAGAGTGGGGGAGTTTTTGAACCCCTGTGGGAGTCTGGTCCAAGTTAGTTGATCAGACATTCCGGTTTCCGGGTTTACCCATTCGAAAGCAAACAGCAACTGACTATCTTTATGCAGAGGCAAGCAAAAGAAAGCATCTTTTAAGTCCAGAACAGTATACCATTTTCACTCAGGGATCAGGGTGCTAAGCAGATTGTACGGATTAGGTACTGTGGGGTGAATGTCCTGCACTCTGTTGTTGATCTCTCTTAGGTCTTGAACGGGGCGATAGTCCCCGGTTCCTGGCTTTTTTACTGGTAGCAGGGGAGTGTTCCAGGCCGATTGACAGGGCCTTAGGACCCCTAAGGCCAGATATTTCTGAATATGGGGCCTTATCCCATCTTTAGCTTCTTTGCTCAGAGGATATTGTTTAATATTAATTGGGGAGGCTGAGGTTTTTAACTCCACTGTTATTGGAGGTTGTTTTATGGCTAGGCCTAACCCAGCAGTTTCTGCCCAGGCATCTGGGTAATCTGTTATCCATTTCTGGGATAGCTTGCCTGTTTGATCAGTCTTGGGGGGTGTGAAGAGTTGATGCTCATCTTCTACTGACATAGTTAAAGCCATGACTATAGGAGTTTTTACTGAAGGATTTAGAAATTCCATTTGGGGGCCTTCAGGGTTAAAAGTTATTCTGGCCCGGAGCTTGGTGAGCAGATCTCTGCCCATCAATGGGGCCGGGCATTCTGGGATCACTAGGAAGGAGTGATGGACTTTTCCTTTCCCCAGGTCCATGGTCCTCTTAGTTGTCCAAGCCCGATATTTACTGCCATTAGCCCCTTGAACTAGAGACCTTTTAGTTGATAGAGGGCCCAATGGGGCCTTAAGGGCTGAGTATATTGCCCCTGTATCCACTTCAAAGTTTGCTGGGGTCCCCTCCACTTCAAAAGTTACCCTGAGCTCGGGGAGGGGATCCGAGCCCTGACTTTCCTAGTCATCCTCCAGAGTTAGAATGGCTGGCTGGCGTGGCTGTTTCTTTCTAGGGCACTCTTTGGCCCAGTGTCCTTTTCCTCTACAGTAGGCACATTGATCTGAGGCCAGAGGTGGCTTCTGGCATGGGCCCAGGTATCCCTTTCTGTCTCCCTGTCTCTTAATTTCTGGCCTATTTGTTGTGGTGACCAGGACCTTAGTCAATGCCTTAGTCTGTCTTTTGCTTCTTTCATCCTCCCTTTGCTCCCTTTCTTTCTCCCTCCTTTGTTCCTTCTCTTCCTCAGTTTCTCTCTTATAGTATACCTTCTCGGCTTCTCTGACTAAATCTCTCAAAGTCATATCTTGTAATCCATCTAAGCATTGTAATTTTCTTTTAATATCCAGGGCAGCTTGCCCAATAAAGGCCATCGTGACAGATGCTTTTTGATCCTCTGCCTGAGTATCGAAAGGAGTATATCTCCTATATGTCTCCATAATTCTCTCTAGAAACATAGAGGGAGATTTATCAGGCCCTTGAATAATCTCTCTTACCTTGGCCAAATTAGTTGGTTGCCTAGCGGCCACTTGGAGACCTGTTATTAGAGCGCAGTGATAAGTGGACAGATGCTCCCTACCTTTAAAGGTGTTATGGTTCCAGTTGGGTTGGTTCAAGGGGAAGTTGTGTCGGTCGCCCATCTGGTCCGAGGATATTTTTTTCCTAGCTTCCAGGAGGATTCTCTTTTGTTCCTCTGTCATGAAGAGAGTCCCTAGGAGTTGTTGGCAGTCATCCCAAGTAGGCTGGTGTGAAAACATCAATGACTCAATCAGACCTGTGAGCCAGGCGGGGTCCTCGGAAAAAGGGGGATTGTTATTTTTCCAGTTATATAGATCTGAAGAGGAGAAAGGCCAATACTGGTAGGCTTGCATTTCTCCACCATGGCCATCCTCTATCATTGGCCCATAAGGATGGAGGGGAAGTATCACGGGGGCTTCAGGGTTTTTAATCATTTGCTGCCAGCGAGTTCCTTTAGCTGGGCCAGTTTCCTCCAGGGGAGGAGGGGCTGTATGTGCTGTGGTGAAGTCATCTGGAGGGCACTGGGCCGGCTTAGCTTCCTCCAATGGTGGAGAGGCTGAGTCAGCAGCAGGGGAATCACTTAGAGGGGTTTGGGGGTTGGGGGATGAGGGCAGGGCATAAGGAGGGGGAGGAGAGTCCAGTAGAGTCAAATCTTGAGACTCAGGGAGAACAGAGGGTGGAGGAGGAGGAGAAGCAGAGGGTTTGAGAGACAGAATCGTGGGGGAAGGAGTAGGAGCGGGGGCAGGGACAAGGAAAGGCTTCACCCATGGAGGAGGAGATTCGCAGAGGTCCTGCCAAGTTAAGATATATGGCTGTTGATCTGGATGGCTATGTGGTCCCGGCTGAAAGACAAAAACAATATCTCTGACTTTTCAAATTAGTGGGAAGTAGAAAGATCCTTCTGGGGGCCATCCGACTCCAAAGGTGGGCCATTCTGAGGCACAGAGAGTCTGCCAGGTCCGGCGTTTTACTGAAAAAGAAAGATTCTGAGCCCTTAAGTGGACTTCGGTCCAGTGATCAAGGGTCAGGGACAGAGGCGTTGAAGTGCTCTGTCCCATAATGAAAGATACACAAACAGTGAAAGCAAGGACACATGACACAGATGATAAAGACAGACAGTAAACATTCAACACTGAGACAGGACTGAGTAGCCGGCAAAACATGATGGGCTGGCAAACCGAATCCGAAGCAGAATACTGCAGAATACTGAGTCGAGGAAACTACTGTTCCTCGATTTCCAGAGTCCTCTGGGGTGTCCCCCAGGGACATGGCCTGTGGCTCTGTGACATGTATGTCAGCCACTGTCGGAGAGAGCTCACGCTCTTCACCAACAGCCACTTTGCCAGCCCTAACCTGAAACCTGAAACCTGGAACCAGAAACCTGAAACCTGGAACCAGAAACCTGAAACCTGGAACCAGAAAGCAGAAACCAGAAAGCAGAAACCAGAAAGAGGCACCTTACTTACCCCGAGAGGGGCCCGTTGGGGGTCTTTCGTCCGCCGCTGCCGGATCTTGGTGGAACCTCCAAATGTAAAGGACAGGCAAGCGTCGGAGGAAGAGACCACCAAGAGACTGTCTCATGCAACAGCAAAGGGTTTATTGGGGTCCAGCATGCTGGGGCTCAGAGCTCACTTGAATAGAGCAAAGAGCCCTGAGAACAGCTTAAGCAGAGCTTATATACTTTCCTTGGAGAGGGCAGGGAGGGAAGTTCATTGACGGGTCAGGGCGAGTGGGTGGTTTGCCTGCCACCAGCAGTTGGGGACAGCACATTCTGGGAACAAGATTAGCAAACAGTTCTCAAGATTATTAACTTTTCACAACTATGTGCCACCAAGACTGGCTTGCTCTTATTTCTTTTTTGCTTTTAAATGTTTTATTAGTATACTGTGGTTACACATAACATTGGGGTTAATTTTGACTATTAATACATGTTTGTAATATAATCTGCTCCATTTCAATCCCCAGTACCTCTGATTTTCCTCCCCTTGTCCATTGTCCTGATCCATTTCCTCTACTCTACTGGCATTTTTTTCTATTTATTTATTTTTTAATTACACACACACACACGCACATGCACACGCACACACTTAAATGTAGAGTATAATGTGATGTATTCATACATGAACATAGAATAATTTGGTCAATTTGATTCTGAAGTTCTCCTCTTTTCCATACCACCTCCCTCCCCTCAATCTCCTTCCTCTGCTCTACTTTTCTTCCTTCTAAGTTCATGGGATTCTCAATTTTTAAAAAGCACTATTTTTCTCTAGCTACTAGAGAAAACATTCACCCTTGACTTTCTGTGGCTGACTTGTTTTACTTAGTATGATTCTCTCTAGTTCCATCCAGTTACCAGCAAATAAAGTAATTTTGCTCCTCTTTTTGGCAGAGTGAAACATCACTTCATGTATAGCATATTGTATTTTAATAGATAATCTCATTGGGCAACAGAGCTGTTTCTGTAATTAGGCTATTGTGAACAGAGCTTACCTTCTTCCAATTCTTAGAGAAAGAGCTTTAAAATTTCCACATTTGAGCCTGACATTTGCTGTGAGCTTTTATTCATCTTTCTGTCATTGATGTAAGTTCCTGTGTGCATAATTTGTTGTTAGTTTTTAACATAAAGGGACATTAAACTCTATAAAATAATTTTCTGTGCTTTTTAAGATAATTATCTTATTTAGTTATGATACACTATATTCTTTTTCATTTATATTGATTCTTTTAACTTATACATTACAATAGTATTCATGTTGATAAAATTATAAAAGTATGGGATATAATTTGTTCTAAGTCAGTCCCCATTACTTCTTCTTTCCTTCATCTCCTCCCTCTCACTGCTCTCTTTCCTGTACTTTACTGATTTTTCTGCCATTTAGTTAAGTTTTTTATTAGTGTCTTGTGGATGAACATCACTGTAAGATTCACTGAAGTATATTTGTATATGCACATAGAAAATTTAGGTCAGATTCATTCAACTGACTCCTTATTTCTTCTCTCCTCCATTCCCTTCATTATCCTTTGTCTACTTCACTGATATTCATTTATTTTTCATTCTTGTATGCCTCATTTGGGTTTGTTTCCACATATCAGATAAAACATTCAACCTTTGACTTTTTGGTACTGGCTTATTCCACTTAGCATGACAATCTCCAGATCTCCAGATAAATCTACTATCAAATGTCATAAGGTCATTCCTCTTTATGGCTGACTAATACTCCATTGGGTATATGTACCACATTTTCTTTATTCATTCATCTTTTGAAGGCCAAAGGTTTTGTTCTATAGCTTAGCAATTGTAAATTTTACTTAGCTATAAACATTGATGTGTCTGTGTCACTGTAGTAAGCTGATTTTAAATACCTTACATATATACCAAGTAGAAGGACAGCAGGATCATATGAAGTTTACATTACTAGTGTTTTGAGGAATCTTTTTTGAGAGAGACAGAGAGAGAGAGAGAAAATTTTAATATTTATTTTTTAGTTTTCAGTGGACACAACATCTTTGTTTGTATGTGGTGCTGAGGATTGAACCCGGGCCATATGCATGCCAAGCAAGCGGGCTACCACTTGAGCCACATACCCAGCCCTTGAGGAATCTTCCTACTGCTGTACAACATGGTTTTCCTAATTTTCAGTCACACCAACAATGTATGAGTGTACTCTTTTCCTCAAATCCTAACCAATATTTATTATTATTTGTATTTTTATTATACTTAGTTATATATGGTAGTAGAATGTATTTGGCATATATACGTTCATGGAATATAATTTATTCTAATCAGGATCCTACCCTTGTGTTTGTACATGATGCAAAATTATCCTGATTTTGTACTCAAATACAAGGAAAGAATAGTTGTCTCATTAATTCTACTGTTCTTGCTTTCTTTCCTTCTCCATTCAATTTGATTCCCTTTGTCTAATCCAATGGACTTCTAGTCTTCCCTTCCCCATACTGTCTTATTGTGGTTAGTGTCCACGTATTAGACAGAATATTTGGCCTGTGGATTTTGGGGACTTCCCTGTTTCACTTAGCATGATATTCTCCCATCTCATCCATTTACTGGCAAATTCCACAATTTAATTCTTCTTCAGGGTTGATTAATAATTCATTGTGTACATATACAACATTTTCTTCAGCATTCATCCATTGAAAGGCCCATGGATGTGTTCCATATCTTAGCTATGGTGAATTGAGCTGATATCAACATTGAAGTGGCTATGCTACTATAGTATGCTGATTTTAAGTCCTTTGGTATAGACTGAGGAGTGAAATAATTGGGTCAATGGTGCTTCCATTCCAAGTTTTTCTAAGGAGTTCCCATACTACTTTCCAGAGTGATTGCACCAATTTGTTGTCCCACCAGCAATGTATTGGAGCACCATTCTCACCAATCCTCACCAACATTTATTGTTACTTATATTCTTAGTAGTTGTCATTCTGACTGGCATGGGATGGAATCTCGTGTAGTTTTAATTTAAATTTCTGTAATTGCTAGAGATGCTGAAGTTTTTTTTTATATACTTCTTGACAATTCATATTTATTCTTCTTTGAAGTGTCTGTTCAGTTCCTTTGTCCATTTATTGATTTGTTTGTTTGTGTGTGTGTGTGTTTTGATTTCTTTACATATCATGGAGATTAATTCTCTATCTAAGGCACAGGTGGTAAAGATGCTCTCTCATCCTGTAGGCTTTCTCTTCATAGTTTTGATTGTTTCCATTGCTGTGAGGAAGCTTTTTAGTTTGACACAATGCCATTCATTGATTCTTGATTTTACTTCTCATGTTTTAGGAGTCTTGTTGTGGAAGTCAGTTCCTAAGCTGACATAGTAGGGAGTTAGGTCTACTTTTTATTATCTTATATGCAGGGTGTCTGCTCTAATGTCTAGGTCCTTGATCCACTTTGAATTGAGATTTTTTGCAGGGTAAGAGAAAGGGTTTCAATTTTATTTTGCTACATATGGATTTTCAGTATTCCCAGCACTATTTGAAGAATTAGCTAACTTTTCTTCAATGTATATTTATGGCATCTTTCTCTAGTATGAGATAACTATGTGAGTGTATATCTGTGTCTTCTATTCTATGCTGTTGGTCTTTATATCTCTTTTGGTGCCAATACCATGCCATTTTTGTTAATATAGCTCTGTACTATAATTTAATAACTGATATTTTAATGCCTCCTGCTTCACTTTTCTTGCTGAGGATTGCTTTTTCTGTTCTGGCCTTTTATTTTTTCAAGTGACTATCATGATTGCTTTTTTTATTTCTATAAAAATGTCATTGGGATTTTAATAGAAATGACACTAAATCTGAATAGCATTTTTCATTGCACAGTCATTTTGACAATGTTATTTCTGCCTATCCAAGAACATAGGAGGTCTTTCAATATTCTAATGTCTTCTTTAATATCTTTCTTTAGTTTTATGTAGTTTTTATTGTAGACATGTTTCACCTCTTGTTTTATATTGGTCTTCAAGTATTTTCCTTTCTTTCCTTTTCTTTTTATTTTCTTTCCAGGATTGCCAAGGTTATAGTTTTTTCTGATTTCTCTTTCACCTGATGATTCATTGGTGTATAGGAATATAATTGATTTATTGTTATTGATTTAATATCCTGATACTTTGCTGAGTTCTTTCATGAATTTTAGAAGCATTTTGGTGGAGTTTTTGGAGCCTTCTAAATATAGAATTATGTTGTTGGAAAATAGGGATACTTTGAGTTGTTTTTATTTATATCTGTTTAATTTCATACTCCTGTATAATTTCTAGGAGTAGAGTTTGAAAGACCATGTTGAATAGCAGTGGTGAAAAAGTGCATCCCTGTCTTGTTCCAGTTTTTAAAGGAAATGCTTTCAATTTTTCTTCATAAAGAATGACGTTGACCTTGTGTTATTCTATACAGCTTTTACAAGGTTGAAGTATGTTCAACATTGTAAAAAACTACAGTCTGTAGTTTTCCTAGGGTTTTGAACATGAAAGGATGCTGCATTTTGTCAAATACTTTTTCTGAATCTATCAAGATAATCATACGATTCTTATCATTAAGTATACTGTTGTGGTTAATTATGTTTATTG